CTGCTGGGAGCCGTGTCTTAACGATCAGCTCACTGCGGGACCTGTAGCTCATGGAGAGTCTGTTTTATGTAACAGCAACTATATTGTAACAGACTTTTCAGTACTTACGGTTTCAGTTAATTTAATGCAACTGAAATTTAGCTATTACAAATATGGTTATATAAATGGAATAGATGATATTGCAAAAAACTTTATTTATATAAATACACACACACATGCTTTAAAAATATATAAAACTAAAAGCTTCGATAAAATGTAATAAAATTGAATAAAAATTTAAAAGCAATAGAATTATCACTGCTGAAATTTGTCAAGCATCTCAGTAATATTTTTATTCTTGTTAATAGTAATGTAAAGTCCTTTAGGAATTTGGATAAATGATAACCAGCCAGGAAATTCTTCAGTTATCAGAGTTAGATGTGCTTTCACTTCCTCTGAAAAAAAAAAAACTATATCTTGTAATAAAATTTTAAAAAAAAAAAACTTTAAATCTTACAATATTATATAAGAGTTAAGTCTAATAAGTATAGAATTCCACTTTATATTTTAGAAAAGATACTCAATAAACTTTAATCTGAATGAAAGAAACTACGAGTGAAACAAAGGTGGAAAGAAAAAAAAAACTCTGATTTAGGATAATATTTAATAATTTTAACCTCATTGAGAAGAGGACAATGTACATAAAATAAATATAACAATCATCATACCTTTCTCTTTCAGTATCTTGTCAGTTAGATTTTATAACAGAAAGTATAGTGTATCATAAAATGTTTTTCTCTTTTTTTTACCCACATTTTTCCTAAAACGCAGTTAGCATGTTTTACATGAAACTACTCATTAGTATTTTGAATTATTATTATTATTATTTTTTTTAAATGGCAGGCACTGAACTTTATACTTTGCCTTAGAAGATGCCGGAATTGTTACTCATTTTACGTTACCCAGTAGGCACCTATGAACCAAAGTCACAGAGGCAAGCAACATTACCCAAGTATTTTGAATTATGATATATATTAATATATATCAGTATTTTGAATTGTGATATATATTAATAATAAATGGCTAGGGTTAATAATGGCTAGGCTTAATAATATTTATGAAGAAAGGTACATTTTTTTAAAGATCAATTTCCAGCTTTGATATGCTCCCTTTTAATTTTGAATAAGCATGAGGCAAAAATAAGATAAAAGACAAAATTAAGCACATAAAAAAGCAAATATTTAATATCATTGCAGTTAAAGCAAAATAAGTCAGATAAATAAATATCCCACCACCCTATCCCCAAAATATCTATCCTTCACAATGCTAAAAACAATTCCAATAACATTTGGTATTATGTAAGTTTATTTTTATAACGGCATGTTTTCAAAGAAAGCATTTAATAACTAGTAACTATTTAATTTCAAAGTTATGCTCTTTTTCAGACTTTTTTCTTGCTCTAAGTTAAGCTTTTTTTCTGAATTTTTCTTGCTTAAATATAAGATAAATAGAGTTAGCAATATGTATATCTTCAACTATTTTATTTCATTCACAATTATCAAAATCGCTTATAGCATCATATGAGTACCATAATTTGCTACAGGAGAAAAAAAAACATATTTAAGAGTTAAGATTTAAATTATTTTAATCGTATTCGAGACATAAATAATACAAAATAACATACCATGAGTGGATAATGAGCTGCAACTATGAATTATTTTATCAATAGCAGTATCAACTGGTACAGCTGCCTTTCTTTCAGCAATAAAATAACTACACAGATTTAAGAAAAATATCCATTTTTGTACTGCTCAAATACTAGAACATGATTTGTCTAAAATTTAATATCAGTTGTTCTTAGATTAAGTCTAGAAAATAATAAAATGCATTCGTTAAAAGCTTTTTTTTATTATATTGAAATCTATCTAATCTAACTATCCATTTGCATATTCTATTAGAAATATGTAACTATGATAGTAAGCTTTAAAATTACAGTTTATTACTTCAAAAATGTTCGTTCAAATGCGCAAAATTGATTTCAAATTATTAACTTTGAAAAAGCCTAAAATTACTTTTTATTTTAACTCTTTTTATTTTTTCCTCACTTTAAAATGTTTTTGATATTGAGACATATTCCATAAAATTTTTGAGTCTATGTCAGATCAATGATAGACTAGACATAATCATTATTCTTGATAAATGTTTTATCAAGAATGTTTTCCTATTGAAATTTGTTGTTTTTACTTAAATTAAAAATTTTCAAAGTTACAAAAAATATTTTGTTGCTAGCTACAACTAAAATACCTTTATCACATTACTACTGTTATTTCCCCTATATATAGGCTTCCAATTCAATTTCAGAAAAGAAAAAAAATTCCTGACTTTTCCAGGTGCATCAAAAATTTTTTAATGAAATTCCCGACCATATTTCACACACTAACTCCATGCAATTTTTATCAGACTTCAATGAATAATAAAAAATTAATTCATCTAGTTCAGAAATGCGTTACATTATTAACAATGTAATACAGTAAAAATAGATTAAGTAACTCAAAAGGATACTGCCACACAATCTGAATGATCTTAGGAAGACGTTCAAGCATTGCTTTGCGCTTTGTTTCATCAGGACTTTCTATCATCCTCTCTAGAATTTTGGCAGACTCACGAGCTCGAATCTAAAATAAATAGTAATGAATTAAGCATCCTAAAATGAAGTTAATTTGGGTGAGAAAAAATTTAAATTATCATGTACTTTGTATTGTTTTGAAAGAAAAAAAAAGAGCAAGCATTTCACTTAATTAGAACTTCCGTTTTTCTCATTTAATTTCCTAACTCTTCCAGGCTTACAAGGAAAATAGTAACTAAGTTATAGATTACAATTTTGCTACACAACTACAATATTGCAACAGAAATAGAATTTTTTTTATTAATAAGCAACAAAAATTATTTGATTGAGGGCTAGTTGTATTCAAGTATATAAAACATATATATATATATAAGTAATATTTTGCAAAAAACAAAAATTCTTATCTCAATTCGGAGTAATAGTGATTCAAAGTGAAAAATAGATATCAAGATATTAATTTATATACCATACATGTTTCACATATAACAATTTTGAACTAAGATTTATAATTAAATTACCTATCAATGAAGTATACCACAACTTTTCAAGTAAGAAAAATCTTAGTTTTTATAAGAATCACCATATTGAATTTTAAAATTAAGTGAATATGAATCGCAGTATCAGATTTTATAAAATGCGAAAACGCAAATCACAAAATTGAAATTTGAAATCACGTGAGACAAATCGCAATGCTTTTAAATCAGATATAAATAAGAAAATCCATGTTTGATATTATAAACACATAAATACAAAACACAATATTGGTTTTAAAAACCTGGAAATTTGCGAACCAATGGTCTTGTGATACATGGAATTCCATGATACTAAAAAATCCCATGCTCCTCTCTGTTCTTTAGACCTGGAAAAATGATATGATAAATCGGAAATTCTGGGGTTCTCGCCTGGAAAAAAAAATCACTCTTCTTCAATGTAATAGAGTTTTTAAATTGAGTCATATCACTCATGCATGTAAGTTGTGATTAACTAACATAACTTGGGTGAAGAATCAAAATTAAATTATATAAGAAGCCTAATTTTTGAAAATAATTAATACCATCCAAGCGAATAGTATTGTTGAATAGCATCTTTAACCTCGTCAGACTCAACGTCACACATATAACCTTCAGACATTTTCAGGGTTGCCACTCAAATCCGGAGAAAAAGTTCCCTGTGTTTTCCCTGTACATATTATACACAATATGTTGAGAAGAAACAACAATTACTGCACTCTTGTGTGAGCTATATTGGGCTAACTATATTTATTAGTTTTAATTGCTGGAAAAACAGCTGAACATACTTAAATAATGCTATAGTAAATGAAATAGTTTATTTTAGCTGAAATATCATGGTTAAATATCCCATAGATTAGGCTTTGAGTGGTCACCATTTTTTCAAAGACCAAAGTAAAAACAAAATTCCCTGTATTTTCCCAGTTTGTAAAGAAAAAATCAAAATTCCCTGCATTTTCCCTGTTATTTTAGGCGATTTTTAAATTCCCTGTATTTTCCAGGTTTTCCCTGTTCTCCCTGAAGAGTGGCAACCCTGATTTTCAAATCACCCCCCCCCCCACGGGATAAATATAAGAAGCCTAATTTTTGAAAATAATTAGACCATCCAAGCGAATGGTATTATTGAAAAGCCTCTTTAACCTTTAAAGACTCAACAGCACACATATATCCTGCAGACATTTTCAAATCACATAATGGAATAAATATACATCTCATACATTATTACACATTCACACGGACCCCGTGGCAGAATTGTGGTGACATTGTCGCAGAACTTTACAGAGTTCTTGCAGAAAGATTTTTCTTTAGGGAAGTAAAAAATTTTAGTTTGCTTTCAGCAGAAATTTAGAGGCAAAATTTGAATCGCGTATTTAAATAATCACTCTTTGAAATGCTGAATTTATGCTGATATTGTAAATTCATATTGATTGTATTTTCGGCAGCTATTGACATTGATTTTCCCGTGACGTTTAGATATCCCAATATATTTCAGGCAATATGGGGAATTGGAATAGCGCACATGATCATTTACTTTTTAAGACAATGATTCTATCGATTTTTTTAGCAGTTATTGCTTTTGATTTCAACATAGTTTTTAAAACCAGATATTTTTTATACTATATAATTTTTTACAACAATCAAACCTTGAAACAAAACTCTTTTCTGAAAAGACCAATTCGCGTAATTTCGTTGTTGATTTGTTTTTTGTTAATTACTGCTACAGATTTTATGATATTAAAAAAATTTTTTTTTAATGTGATGATTAGCAAAATGCGATTAAGGAAATAAATAGTGCATCACCTCCCCCAAAACAAAATGCAAGAATATCGCCCATAATATTATAATCAAGAAAATATTTTGCCTTAAATTAATAACATACATCTTTGTTATTATTGAAAGCATCTTACAGAAAGATATTAGTGCTAGAAAGTTTTGTTGCAGAAAGTCCGAAAAAATTCTCCCACAGAGTATACAGAATTATACACTGAATGCATTAAAAATAAACAATTTTGAATATAAAAATGGTGGCTCCACTCAAATACCAGATTTACATATAAACCAGAAAATATAGTAAAGCACAAAATAATAGTTTTCATACATAGAAGCATCTATCCCAATTAACTATATCTTAATTACTTAGCACAGTTCTAAGATGATGTAAAATAAATAAATAAAATTGAGGGTAACATAGCTTTAAAGTACAATGAAATTCAAGAACTTACTTTCGCTATCAAATCGCTACTGATCCCTTTTAAGGCACTTTTTGTAGGAGCTGGTGTTTTCTCACTAGTACTTGGTTCCAGTTCAATCTTTAAGTTGTTGTTTGTTGATTCATCTGCTACACTTTTCAAAGCTTTAACAACCTATGTTTGATATATATTTTAAAGCAAAGCTATTGTTTATATAACATAATGATTACTTATAGAAAATCAGATTATGATAAAATGAGTAATGTATTCTCTGGTAAAAGGTAGAAATAATGCCCAATATTATATAATAACAATATTTTAACTTAAACACTTAATGTTTTTAACTAAAACGGCAAAAACTATCACATTATTAGAAACCAATCACTGAATAAATAAATTCTTTTTATTCAAGTTTAGTAACCACGTTTCATTAAAAACACAGTAGAGTCACGATTATCTGCTTTAACCAAGCTTTCAAATATTTAAAGGATTTTTTTTTGTTCTACTTTATTTATTTATTTTTAAAACTAACGCCAAAAAAAAATTTTATCTTCCAAACCTTCAGGAAAACAAAACCCAACAACTTCGCTGAAATGACCATTAATATCGCCAATAATGAAGATGAATCTAGCGAAATTTATGACGGTGAGCAGTGACAATGAAAATCAACAACGCCTGTTATCCCTAAAAAATGGCGAAACATTGCTGCCGAAAAGCACCAAAGTAATGTAAAACAAAAAACAATTAATAACTTTTTTTCAGTAAATACTCTTTAATTTTTGTAAAGTATGCTCTTTAAGTGTTTTTAAGTAAGCTTTTTAATTATAATATGAATTGTATGTGGTGCACTCATATAAAATTTGTATTTTTGAAATATATAACATTTATGCCTACTCTTTTTCTATACTCTTCGCTTTAACCGAGTTTTTCAGTTATCTGAGTTAGTAATGGTCCACATTAATTCGGATAATCGGGACATTATTGTATATAAGTTTGAGGAAGTTATATTTTTTATTATACATAGGATAATAAGATAAATTATAAAAATTTTTTGCATACACTAACCCAATAATCATGAAAAAAACTTAATGCATGAACTAACAACGAATTAAAAAAATTATTTAACAGAGAAAAAATTTACTTTTCCACGAAAGGATGATTTGACTATTTTGTTCAATACATCTTTAGCAGTACAAACTTTATTTTCAGGTATTTCTGGTAAAGTAGCAGTTTCAATATCAGGTACACTATCAACTGCAAATTTGGGATGCCATCTTTTAATACTTTCATCAGACACTGATGGAAAATTCAGTCTGCTTAAAAATACCTAAAATAAATAATTTAATATGTTTAAATGATCCATTTAACACTTTTGAAACGAATAATTACGGAAATAAAAATAACTTGAATAATATATATAATACATATATCATTACATACATCCATTTGCCGGAAGCATATATTTTCGGACACTTTTCAACAATCAAAAGAAACAAGTCACTTTTCATAAAGAAGCATACTTAAAGAGTTATAAACTATAATATTAATGAAGCTGAATATTAAAATATTTGAAGAGAGCACCAGCAGAGAAGCTTTGTTTTTCTAAAAATTATAAATGTTTTTATTGCAGAATTTACTTCTCCTTGTTTTAGACTAGTTTTTATTTTATAAAATCAAATTAATTTGCTTTTGGAATTTGGAGAAAATTTTTTAATGTTATTTTTATATGCACAGCTAATTCACATCTCTTGTGCTGAAAGTTCAAATTAAAGTCTGCTCATTCTCATTTATTTATGCATATATTTTTTATACTAAACTATAGTAAACTTTATGCTAAACTTATAAAAAGTTAATTAAATGTCATTCAACCCTTAAGAAATTTGCTGTACGAAATTGACGTTGAATTTAATCTATTTATTATTATTTTTATCGAATAATGTATGTTTTGGTGCTTGTTTACCTTGAAGACGTATTATCCAGAAAAATTTATTTTCAAGACTAGCCGAAGTTGCAACGATTCCGAATATGGGACTTTCCACTGTGTGTGCATGCGTATATACATAGCCGCCAACATGGATAGGAAAAAATCCAGTAGATTTTACGGAGCAATATAAATTTCAAGATAACTGTTGCAAAATGTACAAAACATTTTATAGATAAAAAATTTCATAATTATCAAAATTTAAAAACTGCAATATTTTCCAGTTATGATTAACATTAAATGAACTTGAAATGCAATGTGTTTACTCATAATTTTATTTTTCGTTTTTTTGTTTATTCATAATTGTGTTTTATTCATAATTTAATAGGCATTTAATTCATCAAAGATAGTTTTTAAAAAATTTGAAAAAAAAAATGAAAAAAAAGAGTTCTGAATAAAAATAAACTCAAAATTTTGGAATAAAAAGAGTTTCAAACTGACTTTTATAAATGAGGCTTGCTTTATTATGTATTAATAACACTTATTTAAATATTCAAGCAAGCAATAATCTGCACAAAAAATCTATTTTAACAGGGACTTTTTAAGGAAATTTACTTAATCTTAGGGAATTTTCTAAAATGTATAAAAACCAGTAGACCAGGAGAAACTGGCAAAATCCAGTAGAGTTTGCAGCTATATATATACATATATAGCACAATAAATACAAAGAGAAAAAAAAAAAAAAAAAAAAAAAAAAAAAAAAAAAAAAAAAAAACGAAGAAAATCAGTAAGTTGTATTTACTGCGCATAAGCTACAAGTTTAAAGAACTCATAAAATAAGTTCGAAATGCAGAGAAAACATGGAAAAATTTACAGAATAATGAAAAAAGAAAAGAAGAAAATTATTGAAATTTTTCGTTTAAAAAAAAAACATTCTGGAAAAAAAAAAGAAGAAAACTCATTTTTGCGGATATAATCGTATGAGCTGATGAAGAAATTATATATTTTTTTCATCATACATATATATATCAGGGCATGAAATTTCAGTTCTAAAGCTAGGAAAACTAAAATTTTTGCTCACTACTACTTTTGCAGAAAATATGAATAATTCTTAATGTTAACAAATGCTTTTAATATTTTAGTGCTTATTTACTGTTGTCTTTTGGCACCAAAATACCATTTAATAGAATCAGACTCTGTTAGGGGAAAGGGACCATATAGAGATTCCAATTATTGCGCATAAGCAAAAAATATGGTAGCTTGATTTGAAACACACTACTTTACAAGACAAAACTTACTCGCCAGCATTAAATATTTGGTTGCCAATGGCAAGGTGGCCAGTGGAAAATTCCCACCCTGATATATATACAAAACAGAAAAATCATAAAACCCTAGAAATACTTTTTTTATAAAAAAATTTTACTAAACATAATTTTAAGTATTATAATTGTTTTTGTAAAAAATGTTCTTATTACAGCAAATTAAATATTATCTGCACTCACCTTGTGATGTTGCTTAACTATATTTATTAAAGTATTATGAAAAGCCTGCTCCCTCCCAGAAAGATCTAGAGGCGTCATGGTTACATTCTTTGATTTTGCATTATTACTACCTGAAATAAACAAAATTTATTCTGCATAAATGACTTAATATTATGATCAACTAAATATTAACAAGATATGAATCTTCACAAAATGAGAGTTTAATAAATATATGTGTCCATAAACCTGTCAACACTGAAGAAGAGTTTTCAGTATCATATACTAGAGTTAAGTGAGTTTATGCAATATTAATAAATAATTATAATTAAATAATTAATTATAATTAAATAATTAATTATAATTAAATAATTATAATTAAATAATTAATTATAATTAAATAATTATAATTAAATAATTAAAATTAAATAATTAATTATAATTAAATAATTATAATTAAATAATTATAATTAAATAATTATAATTAAATAATTAAATTAAACTTGCATGTAATATATTAAATATTGAAGATCTAAAATATGGTTCCTAGTAGGGATCTACAGAATATTTGGCTAACGAATATTCGGCCCCTATATTTTGAAAAAGCATTTATCGACAAAGTTTTTTAGAATTTTAATAGATTAAATGAAGAATAATCTAAAATAATATTTTTAACAGACATTATCAGACATAGTTTTTACATTTTTAAAATACATTTGCTTTCTAATTTATGCTCTGGAAAACAAAGGGAAAGGTGAAATTTCAAGATTTGAAATTAGATAACTTCATACTGAAAAACGTGCTTCGTACTGTTAATTTTTTTTACTTATATTCAGGCAAGTCAATTTAGTCACATATCTATACTTTTGTTTCAAGAATAGAGAAAGTTTTTTTTTTCTTCTTTGTCTTATTTTTGCTGTTTTCAGTGTAGCTCAATATTTCAATGGAGCATTCTATGATAGATTTTATTCTTTTATTGCTACTTTTTTCCTATACGGTAAGACAGGCAGTTTCAATGTTAAAATTAAATTTTTAGAAATACTTTTGTCTTTTTGGACATTTGTATGATGGCACAGTATTTTTAAAAGAGTTTCTGACAGACTATATTTCTTTTGATATTTTATGTATATTTGTTTTAAGAAAATTTTTAGCATTGAAGTTTTATCTTAGGTTAGATAATTAAGAGAATTTTTTTAGCTTAAATATTTCTATTGGATAATTATATTTTTTCCCTTGACCCCAAACCAATAATACAGTTTTAATTAATTTTCCACAATTATTAAATTTTATAAATTAAAAATATTTATTAATGATTTATTTTTAAAAAAATTTCTGTACACAGCAGTTTTTTTTTTTTTTTGCCAAATATTCAGTATTTGGCTAAATCACTATTCATACATCCTTAGTTCTTAGCATTTTACAATATATAAAAAAGTAGTTCTATTACTCAGAAACGATGAATGATGCATAATTCTATAATAAAAAGTGCAAACACCGTATTTTTTTAGAGTTTGTCTCAGACCCGTTTACTTACCTTTCATTCCTTAGAAATTACAGAGGCCATACAGATGCTGGCCTCTGTATCAGCGTAAATTCTTTTTCTTAAACCTTAACATTTCTTAACTGTTTCAACAAAAAAAAAGTTAATAAATAAGAAAAAAACAACAACTAAAAACACAAAAACTGGACCAATTGTTTTTCAGCAATAAAAGTTTTTTTTTTTTTTAACAATTTAAAAAATGGTGAACACAAAAAGGTAAATATAGTTTATTTATATTAAAATGAAAGAACATACCTTCAGCTGCATTAAGTTTAGGAGTGATGATTAACTGATAATCTGGATCATTGGCTTTCTTAAAGGTACATTTTTCCAATGCTACATCATAGGCAGTGGGCATAACTGTCATAATCTGCCCCAGATGGACTTTAGAGAAAGTTCTGAAAAACACAGATTCAATTAGTAATTAATAACTCTTTGAAAAAATAAATATTTAAATTCGTAAACAGCATTAGTATTTATGTATTAGTATTACATATTAGTATCAACATTTATAAGAGCCATAAAATTAAACTTCACAAAAGTGGAATGATTATTATATGTATAAAATAAGGAAATAAGACTGACTTAAACAATTACACTAGGGGAGAATTTTATTTATTTTTGTTCTCTGTTGCATGAGATTTTTGTTAATAGATCTTTACTATTTTGTATCGCTGATTTCAAATCTGCAATCCGGTTTCTTTCTCCAAGGTTGGTTTATTTTTAAATAACATTTTTCGTCAAAATGTACAAGTTTAAAAACATTATACAGGGTGCGTAGCCAAATCTCTCAACAAAAAATAAGCACCTTCAAAGTACTTTTTAAGCACTTAAAGAAATATTTTTAAGCACTATATACATTAACAAAACGCAAAATAATTTTCAAAGACTTTACATGATCATGATAAAATAACTAGGTTTTGACAAAGAGCTCTTTTCTTGATTATATTAGCCACCATAGAAAGATTGATAGATTTTTTGGTTCGATTTCAGAGGGTGGAAAATGAAGCCTGAAATTGAGAATATCTTGCAAAATGCACATGAGAGTGCAGGAGTCTCACCGAATCCAGCTCAGTAGTCACTTCCAAGTATTTAATCAAACATGTAACATGACTGGCGCTATCATAAGTTACGGACCAACGGCATGCCTAAATGGATAGCGGTTGAATGAATTGTGAAAACCACGCTTTTTCAAAATACGCACCGAAAATCGACATGGAAAAGTAAGAAGAAAAAAATTCAAAAAAGGGAAATTAAGCACTTTTTAAAAACACCCCATGAAAAAAGCACCTTCAAGAGATTTTAAAAAATGGAAATCGTGAATAAGCATCTTTAAGCACTTTTTATAGGAAATAATTAATTAGACCTTTTTTTTATAGAAAAAATATGGGTTTTTCAGGTACTTCCAACTCAAATTAATTCATTTCCCCTAACTTTATGGCGACTAATTTTTTCCGTGATTGACGATCCCGAACCGATTTTCCATGATTTTTTAAATTGATTAAAGTCTCTGAATTTTTCTATTTCTCCCTGATTTTCCAGTTCTGTGGTCACCCTCAGTAAATAGATAAATAAAAACTTTGATGCACCAGTAAAAATAATTATTAACTTTTGTTATCAGCAGATCTGATGCCAAATATGAATAATAATAATATGAATAACTACATAAAATAGTTAAAAATAAAAGCCCACACCATTACTTGAGAAGCCAACCTGTTTGTTACCATGATTTTCATTAATCAAGGAAGCTATTCTTTTTAGTAAGAAAACTAAATACTTCTGCATTTTAGAGTCTCTTGAAAATTACATCAGATAAATGTCACTATTTGGTAACTTAACAGCCAAGTTCATTTAAGAAAAGAAAAAAAAAAATGTAAATGTAACTTTCATAAGTCATTAGTGTCTGAATTTATTAATAAAGATATTATAAGTTATGTTTATTAAATATGTTCAATTATTAAAATACAATATAAATCTTAGAAAAACTATAACAATATGAAAACTATAATAATATTACAGCAATACAATTATTTTATTTTGTAAAGATTCAGTGTTCTCCCTAGAAATAAAATGGGGCAGGGCGTTTCCTTTCTGAAAAGAACACTTATAGTTTCGAAAGAGCACTCACTCAACACTCTAAAAATGTATCAAAATGTGTAATATTATGTAATAACTGAATTTAATCCTCAACAATTTTTAAATTACCCTTTCATACTATTTTATGAGTATGTTTCAAAAAGTAATTCTCTCTTATAACCAAAATAAGAGAAAAATTTGTAGATTATAAAAATAACTAAAGGCACTAAAAGGCAATCTCTGTGCATATTTTTTTTTAAAAATAAACTAACAAAAAATTATGATTTGATAAACAACTAAAAAGTTTTTTTCCATAATTTAAACTGATAATTAGGAAAAAATAACCATTTAAAGGTGCATTTAAAAAAAAAAATTTTATTTTAAAAAATAGTTTTAAAATCGCTTAAAAAATTTATTAATGCCCCCCCCCCCCAAAAAAAGATACTTATGTCCCAACTAAGTAAATATTCGTAAATTAATCAGAATTAAACCTATAAACACAGATAACTTTACCAGCGAGTAATTATTGTTTAAACAATGAATTAATTGATCAAAATGGAATAGGCATTGCTTTTGAGGGACAGTTGCTTATTTTTAAAAAAAGAACACATTCATTGGATGGGCCACCCTTCAAAAAACACTTAGAGTGAACACTGTAGATTAATTATTTTAGCTTAACAGACCTCTTCATCATCCGCTGAACGCCCTCCTTTACTTTCTCAAAAGTAATCTTCTCTTTTCGGTTATTCAGAATGCTGATAACAGTATCCATGCTTCTGAACATTTCCAACAGTAATTTGTATTTGAATGGTAAAATCAGAGATGATGATATTTCTGGATCAACCAAGTAGCTGTATTTTTGATAGGCAGGAACAGTAGGAACAATAGATTTATTCTCACTGCAAAGATAAACACTGTTATTGCAAAACATAAACACTGTCAGGGGTCTGTACAGGCCGAATTTACTACTGTTTAGCGGTACCTTCACAAATTCAACTTTAGGAAAAACGGTAGTTTCACAAAATACTTTTTCTTAAAATTTCATTTTTGTATTTCTTAAGAAACGATAAATCCATATCTTTACCATATTTTTGCATTGGTTTTTTAATATAATTTTTAATTTTCACAAATTATGTCTAAATTTTCATAAAATAGGTACCTCTCAGTAAAACCTAGACAGATCCCTGACTGTTAATGCAGGAATCTGTCTAGGTTAAATTTACTACTGTTTAGCGTTAATTTCACAAATTCAACTTTAGGAACAATGGTAGTTTCACAAAATACTTTTTCTTGAAATTTTATTTTTGTATTTCTTAAGAAACGATAAATCCATATCTTTACCATATTTTTCTGTTGGTTTTTTAATATAATTTTTAATTTTCACAAATTATGTCTAAATTTTCATAAAATAGGTACCTCTCAGAAAAACCTAGGCAGATAATGCAGACTGTTAATGCAGGAATCTGTCTAGGTTAAATTTACTACTGTTTAGCGTTACTTTCACAAATTCAACTTTAGGTAAAACGGTAGTTTCACAAAATACTTTTTCTTAAAATTTTATTTCGGTATTCGTAAGAAACGATAAATCCATATTTTTGTGTTGATTTTTTAATATAACTTTCAATTTTCACAAATTATGTCTAAATTTTCATAAAATTGGTATCTCTCAGAAAAACCTAGACAGACCCCTGGTTAATGCAAAAATTTGAAGCAAAGAAACACTTTAAATGCAAATATAAATAAAAAAATACACTATATGAAAAATAATAAAATAAAAATGTATGTACTATGTTATAATAATAATAATTTAAGGTGCATCATTTTGGAAATGAAATCAATTTACCTCAAATTGTACATAATGATATATAATCTATAATAATTGAAGGAAAAATTTGTGCGTATGTCTCTTTCATTGGAAAGGGCAAAGTGAATTGGATATTATAAATAATAGTGTCAAATATTATCTTTAAGTTTTGTAAATGATATTATATTGTATAAAATTAGCCAGCATTATACTATAAAACAATTTATAATGTAACATAATTTCTTGATTTTCATAATAATTAACTTCAATTAGATTCCTTATATCTAACTAATCCGTTAATAAGTTAGTTTAAAAAAATTTCAAAAGAATCTGAAAATATTTCAAAAAGGAAAAATCATACGCCTTGCTTGTAATAATAGAAGAGACATTCATCTTAACAAAGCTTTACATAAGTAGTAAGTACACATATTTCAAATAACACTCTCAAATTAAATATATTTCAAATTCATTTTAAATAGAAATGAAAAATACTTACAGTCGTTGAGTGGGAGATACAATGGAATTAGTTTTAAAACAATTTGCATTATAACTTCGAACCAACGAAAGTTTTGCCTTAAAATTTGCTATAGCTTTCTTTGTTTGTTCTGACGGACTTCGAACTGATGGATGGATCAACTGAAAAATTCAAAGTAAAATAGATTTGAAAATATAATAAAAAAATTGCAAAAAGCAGAATTGGTAGAATTACTACCAAAAAACTTCAGAACACGAAATAGTAACACGAAATTCTTACACGAAATAGTAAAATATTTTTAAAATAATTTCAACAACTATTACTGATCCCTGCGGCAGAATTTTTTCCTATGGTCTTTATTATCGATCTGTAAGATACGTTTAACAATAACAAACATATATGTTACTAATTTAAAATACCAAAAGTGCTGTGTTTAAAAAAAAAACTTTATAATATTTTTACATTAAACTTATAATAATTTTTTATTCTAATACTATGTCTGATATTCTGACATTTTGTTGGGGGGGGGGGACACATAAAGTATTTTCTTCTTCTCATTTTGTACTTAATCATCACAATAAAAAAAAGTCATTAAATTCATAGTAGTAAGTGCAGAAAAAAAGATTGATGACGAAATCGCACGAAACAGATTTCCCAAATGTGTATGTCATCCTGCAGATTAGGTTGTTGTAATAAATAATATGGTATAGAAAATATTGGACACAAAAACTATGGAGAAATCAATAGCAATAAATGCCAACAATTCAATAAAATTTTTCCCTTAAAAAGTAAATACACAAATGCAAGATTTGAATTTGCCATATTGTTTGAAATGTATGGGGATATTTAAAATCCACGTGAAAATCAATAACTGCTGAAAATACAATCGAAACATTAAATCGATTTACGATACTATTGGTGTAAATTGTGCACGACAAAAAGTGATTAACTAAATGCACGATTAAAATATTATGTGTAAATTTTTCTAAAAAAGAAAAGTTTTTTTTTTTTTACTTTTCAAAAGAAAAATCTTTCTGCAAGTGCTCTTCAACGTTATGCAACAATGTCGCTGCAATTCTGTAGCATTTCAATAGCAATAAATGCCAACAATTCAATAGAATCTTTGCCTTAAAAAGTAAATACACAAATCCAAGATTTGAATTTGCCATATTGTTTGAAATGTATGGGGATATTTAAAATCCACGTGAAACATTAAATCGATTTACGAAACTATTGGTGTAAATTGTGCACGTCAAAAAGTGATTAACTAAATGCACGATTCAAATATTACGTGTAAATTTCTCTAAAAAAGAAAAGTTTTTTCTTTTTACTTTTTAAAAGAAAAATCTTTCAGTAAGTGCTCTTCAACGTTATGCAATAATGTCGCTGCAATTCTGGCATGGGCTTACTGATTAACATTAATATAGAAAACTATCCAAGTAATCATAAAGCAAATCTTTACACTTAATTTACTAAATAAAAAACTTTAATTTTTAAAACATTTATTTCTAAGTTATTATTAAAAACATTTATTTTAAAGCATTTTCGGGAGAGATTTCTGTATCGTGATCTGCGGCAGAATAATCACCAAGACTGGGCAACTTCGGGGCAGTGTCCTGCAATGAACTAAAAAAAATTATCACAGAAAGGGACCAACTCGAAAGGTATACCTCGTAGCCACCACCGAGCAAATATCTACAGGTTTTTTTAAAAATTTATTTGGCACCTTGGCGATTGTAGTTGGTGCAACAGATCACAATACAGAAATATCCCCCATTTTAGCATATTGAGCAACTTTATATTCCTGAAACAGATCAAAATTTGTAAAGACCAAATGTTACTACAATGCAGGGCACGGAAGTTAAAATTCTTAAAAAAAAAATTTTAAAAAATGCTATAGAAGTTGCAAGTACGAACTTAACATTAATAACTAACCTTTTTTTCAGGAGTTCTTTCATTTGGTTTATTTTCAGGTGCTTTTTCATTTGATCCTTTTTCAGTTTGATCATCAATAAAAAGCTTTTTGGGAGTGATACATTTAGAAGGGGATTGAATTTCTTCTGAAGCAATTTCACTACACGATAACTTTTTTTTCGGAGGAGTGCCTACATTCGGATTACTTAAATTCCGCTTCGGAGAACGTAAGTTATCTCGATCAAGAACTACCCGTTTCGATTTTTGTTCAGGTATTTTCACTTTTTCAGGAACATTATCAGCAGCTGAAGCACAATCAGTAATAGAAGATTGTTGAACACTACATTCAGCAATGGTACTTAATTTCGGTTCTTTTGAAGTTTTCTGGGCTTCGTAAAAACTCGTTACCTTAGACTGAGATACGTCGGTTGACGGTGTTTTCTTAGAAGCTTTAGGAGCTCGTTTAGAAACCTTCGGTTTAGCATCTTGTGATTTCAAATTATTCCCTTTATTTGCAGCTGATGGCGCTTTAGCTAAAACTTTTATCGCTTCTGGAACTTCAGCACTTTTTTGTTTCTTGAGCTCTTGAGGGACAGACTTTCCAATAACATCTTTTGCAACAACAAGATTCTTGGCAGATTCAATGGCTCCTTTATTGTTTTGGTTTCTAGAACTTCTTCGCGTAACATAATATGAAGTAACTTTAGACTGGGACATTTTACTTTAGATAAAAAAACATGGAAATTGAAAAATGCGTTTTGTTAGGAAAATATTAACACATGAATCCACAATCTACAAATACTAAATTTGCCTCCAAAACAACTCATGCGTAACGCTTTGGACTACCTACTTTCTTACCACTAAACTACGGCCAAAAACCTACTTGCTTGCGAAACCAATCCTTGCAAAATTTCGCGTATGCGAATTCGGAGATACGAGCGAGATTCTGATTGGTGAAAATCGGTCTAGCAAAAAGCCAATTTTCTCATCAGGCTCCTAATGAAAATGGAATTCCTAAGGGAATCTTAAATCATACAGAAATAGGTAGTGCAAAGCGAATTGATATTTTAACAAACAATTGTAGTAAACAAAAGTATGCGAAATAGGTTTTGCTCAAAGAAATGTTTATATAATGCGCTATACTACATATAAATCGATAAATTATTCACTTTTCAGACTCAAACATTTGTCATGTCGGTATATATTTCGTAAGAAAACACTTTGCACATCTATTTTAATTATACTTACTATCTTGCTCTATGTTGCCTATTCCACATATTCAGCATATAGTAAGTGTTCCTTTCTTGAAGTTGAAGAAGCAGTATTTACTATTGTAAGTGCCTTTATAAATTGTTTGTAATATTAAATGATAAAGATTAAAGTTATAAATTACGCAGTTTGTGAACAATTGTGTATAAATAAGGTTATCCAATTTAATTTTCCTTCTTCATGGAGTATCATTTCCTTTTGTAGAGGCGGGTTTCAGGGCTCTGAGAAGCCTTAATAACGTTTTTCTTCCTGTTTAATGTCAGTTTTAATTGATTACACTTTTTATTTAGAAGATAATTATTTAATTGATTGCACTTTTTATTACCTCGTTGGTAGAAATTTATAATTTGGTGCCCTTTCTTATTTTTCGGCACAAAAGGTAATTAATTTTTGTTGTTTTCTTTGCAAATCTTTTTAAAACAGTTAATATTTATGTTCATTTATTAACAAAATTCTTTTTTTTTTTCGAACATCTTAAACATGATGCAAATATTATGTTAGCAAAATTGAACAAAATTCAGTCCAAGATGCAAATTGCTAATCCTAGGTGCACCCAACTCTATTCCTCTAACCATTTTGATGCCTTGAGTGTACAGTGTGGGTTAAATTTCTTTACTGATTCCTGCTATGAAGCTATTAAAATTTATAGCACTTTTTAGTGAGCTAGACACAAGTGAAAAGTTGCCTATAAATGTAGACTTTTGTCAACTTCTTTTTTTTTTACCATTTTTTTAAGCTCTGAAAAAAAGGACTAAAAATTAAATAAAATAAAGGGAAAAAAAGATTAGAAACAAAAAATATTATTTATTTTATTGCACCCGACTAACCGAAAAGTACCAAATTTTATTTTGGTTAATCCATTCGAGATATTCCGGTATGGGTGTCTGTTAGCATCGACTGCATATGTCAAGGCAGTAGGCACTAAAGGGCTTGCTTGAGATAGCCACAAGTTACATTGTTCATGTTTATTCTGTTACCTTCTTTGATTTTTTAAAATTTCTTCTGTGCTACTGCATATAAGCAGGGTGCGTAGCATTTTAAAAAATGCTTCAAGGTGCTTATTTTTTATTTACATTTTTTAAAAGCCCTTAAAAGTGCTCTTTTTGTTCGGGGTTTGTAAAAAGCGCTTAATTTTCTATCCTTTCTTTGCCGTGTCGTTGTTGTTCTAAATTACAATAAAATTGTGATTTTCGCAATTCTTTCTCTCTCCAATATTTATTATGATCATGTGATATTCATAAAAATGTTTTTGAATTTTATGTTCATAAATTAAGAACTTTAAACGATTGAAAGAAAAAACATTTTATTACTGCACATATCCTAATTGTGATAGATTTTTTTGTTTTGTTTTTTGGAAAGTGATTAAAAATATTTTTTGAGTGCTCAAAAAGTATCTACTTAAAAGGTGCTTATTTTTTGTTGAAAAATCTGTCTATGCACCCTGTATAAGTTGCTGAGTCTTGGAGATTATCTTAGCATTGATACTGACCCAATCTTCACAATTCCATCTCTCTCTCTCTCTGATTTATTATTATTATTATTTTTTTGCAACATGCAAATGTTTATTGAAGTGCTACATTAAAAAAAAAATGAAGTTAAAGATTTTAAGCTATGTAATATTCTTAACATATCTTTACCACAATATGTGTTATTTTTATTTCCATCTTAAACTTATAATATTAAAAAATTTCGACATGTTTTATCGGCCTCAGAAAAAAAATTCTTCTATATCCCTTCTTCTGAATTCAAAGAAATATTATTTTCAAAATTTCTAGAATTTTTAAAAGCTTTCTTTCAAAATCATAAATTTTTATATATATATTTTAAGAAATTATTTTCTTTTAAAAAATTAATAAAAAAACTTTTTTTTTTGTCTGTAGAATTCAGACCAAGCCCTCAGATGGTTAAATTTATACCTCCCCCCATAGTATGGCCAAGTTTGCAGTTTTTGTTACTCATTTTATGTTGGTTTTGTGTAATTATAGTGATAGTTTTAACAATATTATTTACATATTCAGTTTGATTCTAAAAATGATGTCTGATTTTAAATAAGATATACTTTAAAATGTTCTTGATGCTTGATAATTCCATTCGACATGTATTATAACATATATCATAATACTGATAATAAAAAGTATCACTAGCAAAATTATCTTGCCAATAAAAGCAACAGTGAGCAGTATTTTTATCAAGTGCTAAATTTAATTATTTATTAGGATATTTTAAAATTTTCATGATCGAAGTTTTTATGTAGTAGTTTTGTTATAACATTAAGTTTTCATTGTTTTTCTTCTTCTATTTTTGGTTTATTAGTATAAGATATGCCAGTTTTTCAAAATTTTTAAACTCATTATTTTATTCCTAGTAGTTGATATACATAGCTGTCAACTTCTGTGTTCGTGGAGAAAGATTTTTCAAAGTAGTGGGAAAGTTTTTTTTCTTTAATTGCAAAAGCACTTGACTTTACATCATTGGCCCTCATGCATCGAAGATGCATGAGATTGGAGCATATGAAACAAAAACTGAACCATTGAACAATATAATAACAAGAGCAATAAATACTTGCAAAACGTGAACCACTTATACATAAACGAGAATCGGTTGCTGGAACGGTTCTTGCAGGAGTAGTAGGAAAGTCATTATTACAATAGATAGAATTTTCTTAAAATTTAGGTTTTTTCACCTACAACTAAAAACTCAAGTTCCTAACTGTTCTATTTTATTTTGTTTAGATCATTGTTTTTTTATGTTTAGAACACAGACTTTGAAAATTTTATAAACAAAGATTTAATCACGTATGTAGTTCCCGCTACCAGTAAAAAATATTTCATCAATGACCGTATATGTTGGAAGCTATGGATATGCTATAATGTTATTTGTGCATACTCTTGTCAACAATGAAAGTTGGTGCAAATTTCGCCAAATTGGCTCCAAATTCATATCTAATCAGATTAAAATGACAACTTAATTTTTTTTAGAATAAAATGTTAAAATTAATGTTTTAAAACATATCATTGAAAAAAAATTTGTGGTATAATTTTTTTACTACCATCTTTATTTACTAGGAGGCTTCTGTTTTTAGCCAGTGTTCGAAATCATTAGTAGTCCATGGATCTGAAACCACTAAATCCCCCCTATGACCACTATAAAATAATAACCACTTGTCTGTGGGATTATCAACACATCTACTTTTAATAGATCTTAAAATTTAATTTAATAGATCACAATTTTATTTTATTCGAATGGTATGATTATGGTTAGGGTGTAATGGAATAATTCAATGTAGCACTTCTCTAACATATCTTAGTTTTTTTTCTCTTTCCACTTTTGAGGTTTATGTTTATCATAGAATTATTTAATTTTAGGATACAAAATATGATTTTCAGGAATAAGGTAACCTTTTTCAAGAAAAAAAAAACTGGAAAATTGGATATTACATTGAAAATAAAGAAAAGGATATCCCTTTCATATATATATATATATATATATATATATATATGTAGT